TACAGCAGCACGGACGCGCAGCGTGTTCCAAGCCGCAGTGGTCGGAACCAAAAAGGCTGTGCACGTGTCGGCCGATTGTGGGGAAGGCACGAGGAGCACTGGCCACTGGAGCAAGGGCCAGCAGCACCACTGCCCTTGCCCTGCACCACAGCACCAGCACCTGGTCGCGGAAGCGGAGGCTGACACACAGCCAGAGTCGCAGAGAGCCCAGGGAAGCGAAGGCCAGGACAAACCGGTCTCCAAGGACACGGGCGCGGCCGCGCGGGCCGCGGGGTGGCGAGCCGGACGTGCCGCCTGACGCCGTTACCCGCTACCGCCGGCGCGCTGATGAGATTGCCGCGGGCCCCGGGCTGCGTTAATGACAAAGCAACCACTCGCTATTACGGCCTCGTATAGTTTCTCCCATGGAGTTTAATCCAATATCTAGATACATACATGGAGTATTAAATATAGACTAAATAAATAATTAATTACATAGTTTGCGACTAATTTGTGAGACGAATCTTTTAAGCCTAATTAGACCACGATTTGACAATGTGATGCTACATTAACACATGTGCTAATAACGGGTTAATTAGGCTTAATAAATTCGTCTCGCGGATTACTGGCGGATTCTATAATTTATTTTTTATTAGTATCCGAACACCCCATGCGACACCCCCATATGACATCCGTTGTGACATCCTAAAACTTTACACTCTAGATTTAAATAAGGCCGTACTCCCTCCGTCCAAAAAAACATACAATTCTAGCACAGTGTCATGATTTAGTATCTCAAGTTTAATTAATTATAGATAAAAATTATCAATATTTATGATATCAAATAAATATCATTAGATTAATTACGAAATATATTTTATTAATAAATTAATTTGGAGTAATAATAAACAACTTTTGCCGGTACGCAACCCGTAGTTGCATGTTTTCTTGGACAGATGGAGTATATTATACTGATTGTTGATGAGGGCATTATGGTATCTAGCTACTGCGCAGGAGTAGTTCTATCGGGCGATGTATTTGACGGGCTGACGACGGTTGATCAGGTATAAACGAGACAAATACACGAGTCGAGCAGCTGGCCAACTGGCGGACAAGTCAATGTAACGTTAAGATTTGAAAATGTACGGATCGCAAAAATACTAGCACCGGTAGTACTGCCCAATTTTGGCGAGAGAGAATTTGACACTGGAAAAATGAGTCATTTCTTTTTTTTCCCTGAAATTTTTTTCGTTCCCTATTTAACACTCACTTCAACGTTCATCCCTAATTTGATATTACCGTCAAATCCGTTAACTAACGGTGTTAACTGGCTGTTAAAAAGACGTTTTTGCCCCTAGAAAAAAAGTGGCGAAGCAAATTTGAGAGGAAAAAAAAACCTACGCCCTTTTTTTTGCAGCTGGGCACATGCATCAGAGGCAGGCGCAGTTTTTTTTTCTCTCAAATTTGCTTCGCCGCTTTTTTTTCTAGGGACAAAAATGTCTTTTTAACAGCCAGTTAACACCGTTAGCTAACGAATTTGACGGTAGTGTCAAATTAGGGATGAAAGTTAAAATGAGTGTCAAATAGAGAACAAAAAAAATTTCAGAACAAAAAAGAACAACTCATTTTTTTCGGTGTCCGTGGCTACTACTCGAAGACTGATTGATTGATTATACGCGCCAGAGCTGGCGCAACAGTTGGCATAAAAGGACTAGGGCCGCGTTTAGTTCATCAGCCGATTCGGCGCCGCCCAAAAAAGAGGCATACTGTAGTTACAGTATTATTTTGTTTTTATTTGGTAATAATTGTCCAATCATTAACTAGTTAGGCTCAAAACATTCGTCTCGCAGAGTACAACCAAACTGTGTAATTAGTTTTTGATTTCGTCAACATTTAGTACTCCATACATATATCACAAGTTTGATGTGACGGGAAATCTTCTTTTTGCATAGTGTCAAATTCTGGAAATAAGGGAACTAAACGTGGCCTAGCTAGGGGAGTGATGGTGTGGTAGTCGAGACAAAATAACACCAGAAATGCATGACACAACGTTTGACAGCAACTGGGACGAGTTTTCGTGGCAAAAGTAGCTGCATGCTTCGTATCGATCACACTCCACGTAGTATATAATATAAGTCACCCATTGGATCATTAGTGGTAAATAATTAAGTTGGATACTCGCACTACTTTTAGCCCTAGTTTAGTTTCATGAATTTGGAATTTGGGGCTACTGTAGCATCTTCGTTTTTATTTGATAATTATTGTTCAAACATGGACTAAGTAGACTCAAAACGTTCGTCTCGCAATTTCCCACCAAACTGTGCAATTAGTTTTTTTTTCGTCTACATTTAATGCTCCATGCATGAGCCGCAAACATTCGATGTGACAGGTACTGTATCACTTTTTGGGATTTTGGACTCCAACTAAACAAGGGCTTAGTAGTGATGGTGTTGCAGTGATTTTTTTTCAAGCTCTTCAAATTATTATTAGGACATGTCTATACAATATAAAATAATATAATAAATGAGAATCATGTGTGTGTCCTTCCAATCTTAGAGGCTTCTTTTAGCGAGCTATGATTCTAGTTCTACGCACCAAAATGATTATTTTCTTGCCAAGACAAGAAAAGAGCACCATTTCGATTGGAAAATGTGAGTACTATGTTTTAGACAGTTCATTATCCAACTCCCTCTACGAAAAGATCAAGTCATTTAAGAAGCTTTTTACTCCCATGTAGACATTAATTTGCTAGCTGCTATTTTTCCTCGAAGCACGAGGGAACAAGGCTATGCCTCAATGCCCTAACACATGCTCATTGAAGTTCTTGGTTCCGTAGCTCAGCTATCTGCTCCCTCTATCCTAAAAATACAATATATTACCAAATAAAGAGTATGATAAAAGATTAGGTTATCTCTCACTAATTAGTCTGGTCACCAACTTGCTTAATTTTCTAGTAACACATAATTTAACAGGTATGCATGCATGTCACCGATTTTGGCTACCAATCATAGGAGTCATTTTGCGCAAAATGTTATTTAAACACATGCATGTATGAGGTTTAAAAGACAGATAGGCAGGCATAGGTTGAGCAATACATAATACCTTATAATTATGATAAGATTCGAACATTTGATCATGACAGTAGGGTTCTAGTGGGACGTTTTATCCACTTGGATCTTGTTTTAGGTTGGATAGGGAATTGAAAATTACTACATATAGATTCTCTTGGATTTCGAGGTCTTTTCAAATCTATAACATACTCCATCCATCCCTAAATAACTAAACATCTCGTTTCTCAAAAAAGTATTTTTATTTAAAAATTGACTAGGCATATATAAAATAATATTAGTATTTGAATTTTTCAAATAAGTTTATTATGAAAAAAAATATATTCCACGATCAATCTAGTGATACTTATCACATATCATAAATATTAGTGCATTCCGTATATATTTGGTCAAACTTCAAAAGAATTTGGCTAAAGTATTTGAGAATGATATGTTATATTATTTTGGGATGGTGAGAGCATCGGATTAGATATGAATTTTTTTTAATAAACGCCCTGTTCTCCGATAATTTAATGTCAATTTTGGCAGAAAACATGTATGCGTACGTGCGTGCGTTCAGTGGTACAATACGTGCTTTGTACTCCTGCTTCGACCGTTCGATGTGTGATACGGAGTAGGGCACACTCATACAGGTACACAAGGCAAGTGTCCGTATAGTGTGCATGTACACTGGTGTGCACGCTATAAAGAAAATCCCTCACTTTCGTCAACGTTTTAGGCCCTGTTTAGTTTCACCCAAAACCTAAAAATTTTTACGCAGTATCTATCACATCGAATCTTGCGGCACATGTATAGAGTACTAAATATAGACGAAAAAAAAACTAATTACACAGTTGGATGAGAAATCACGAGACGAAACTTTCGAACCTAATTAGTCTATAATTAGACACTAATTATCAAATATAAACGAAAATACTATAGTACCCAAAACTAAAAATTTTTGCCAACTAAACAGACTCTTAGATGCAGTGAATATTATTAGGAGAATTTTTGAAGAGTACTAGAACCAAAGATTAAATCCCAGCACGCATTTATGAGTTGCCTGTCACTTCACCCATCGCTTGCGGATAAACCCTGGCGATGATGGTGTCATGTCAACCTTTACCTGCCGTTAACTCTGACGTCTCTTGGTCTTCCTTCCTCGCTGAACGCCGTCAGGCGTCATCCCGTCAGTCACCCAGGGCCCACCGAGGGCGCAAGACAAAAAAAAAAAAACTTTTTCAAAAAAGTGCTACAGTACCCATCACATCGAATCTTACGATACATGTATGGAGCATTAAATAAAGACAAAAAAAAAACTAATTACACAATTTAATTGAAAATTACGAGATAAACATTTTAAACCTGATTAGTCTATAATTAAACACTAATTACCAAATAAAAACGAAAATGCTACGATAGCCCAAATTGCAAAATTCACTCAACTAAGCACGGGCTACGCCGCCCAAGCCATAAGGCTGCTTGCAGCTTGGCAACAGAAAAACAATCCGAAAAAAAAGGAGAGGCAAAAGCGAAAACCCCTCCCCCCTCCTCCTTCGCCCGCAAGAACTCGAGCGGCAGTGTGGCCACGGCAGCCGGGTTGACCTGCCCGCGAGCTTATAAGCCGTTTCTCCGGGAACGTCGTCTTGTCGCGCAAGTCGCTCGAGTTTTCCCGCGCCGGCCGCCTCTGCCTGCTTGCTCGGTCTCAGATTCCCGCGCGCGAAAGAGAGGACCGGACGGCCGGCGGAGTACGCTTCTTTCTTTCTTTCTTTCTTTCTTTCATTCCCTGTCCTTGTCTCTCGTGCTCTCCGTCCGTTCCGGCAAAAGCGGCGCGCGAAGATAGTCTGGGAATCGCTGTTCGTTTCTTGATTCCGGCGGCGGCGGAGGCAGTGCGTGTGAGGGAGGCGCCGCGCGCAGCCTCGGATTCGGACAGAGCGTCCGTCGCCCGACCCCGACGGCGGCGGCGGCCGACCGATGGAGTCGGTGAAGGGGTGGGTGGCGGCCAACTACGCGGAGGCCATGGCGTCGATACAGCACTCGCTGCGCGTCGCCTACGTGGTCTTCTCCTTCTGCGCCGCCTTCTTCCTCGGCGGCATCAAAGGCACGCCCGTTCTTGTAATCAATCGCGTCTTGCCATCTTCTGATTTTGGAGCCTTGCTTTGCTTGGGGCCTTGGGGGTTCTGCGCCCACGTGTTCTTACTTCTCTCAAATGGATGTGCAGCGATGGTGGTCGGACCCGTTGCCGCCGCGCTGATGATAGTGGGCAACGTCGGCGTCATACTCGTGCTCTTCCCGGCGCACGTTTGGTGGACAATCTACTCGCTCGTCAAGTAAGCCGCCCAGCAACTAGTCCTTGTGTTCTTGCTTTTATTATCTACTCCATTCCATTCCAGCAAAATCCGTTGTTTTTTTTTTTCCGTTCGATACTTCTTGTGAATAATGAATTTGATCTTCTTGCACCTTTATTTCTTTCCAAAATTCCTTCTGTCGCCAATTGCACCTTCTCGGGATCAATAGATGGTCATACATACTGTTTGACTGATCGTTGCTGCTCTGCAATCTGCATTCGCAATCCAGGACTGACCGTGTCAACGCGGGCCTGAAATTAGCCGTGCTCTTGGCGCTGCCCGTGCTGTTCGGCCTCTGGCTGGGGCTCGGCATCTTCGGCAGCGCGCTGGTGGCTCTCGGGTACGGCTTCTTCACGCCGTGGATCTCCACCTTCGAGGCGTTCCGGCAGGAAAGCGAGGCCAAGAAGTTCGTGCACGGCATTGTGGTAAGACAGATCAGAGCATCTCCTGCACGACGCAGGTCAAAAGATTCAGGTCCCCGCAGCTGTTAACCATGCCTCCCAACAACACTGTCTGAGATGGTTCTGGTTTGAGCAGGACGGGACGTGGGGCACGATCAAGGGCAGCTGCACGGTGGTTAGGGACTTCGCCGACATATGCTTCCACTCCTACCCGGTCTACCTCAAGGAGCTGCGCGAGAGCTGCCAGAATCGTGAGCCCCATTCGATAAGGTATCTGTCCTCCCACTAACTACCATTCGTTTGGTTGTTTTAGGATTAGCTCTGTGCTGTGTAATCCTTGTGACAAGGATGGGATTGTCATGACAAGGACGTGATTAGCCTTTTGCCATAAAATACCCTGCTCTGGCAGTGTGTCATGTGTCGTGTTAGTGTTACTTAAGTATATTCTCTACAAATTCTATCATTGTGAATAATTTTTTTGGCATGATCTCACACTGCAGTTGCTTGAAATTGGAATTTAACATTGTAATTGTTAGATTACCAAAATAAAATAAAATGTACTGCTGGTTGTGGATGCTATTTTTTTCAAAAGGATGGCAAGAGATCACTGTGAATTATATTAGAGTCTTATAGTATAACAATCTTCTTAATGTTGTTCTTGTAGGTTGCTTGATGTGCCGTCATGTATAGTTGTTGCTCTCCTGGGGCTAGTCGTCGACATACCGCTTTACACAGTGATTGCGCTGATCAAGAGCCCCTATATGCTCTTCAAAGGCTGGCAGAGGCTGCTGCATGACCTTATAAGCCGAGAAGGCCCGTTCCTTGAAACAGTTTGCGTGCCAATCGCTGGCCTGGCTATCCTTTTCTGGCCACTGGTGGTGGTTGGGAGCGTTTTGTTGGCTATCGTCTCAAGCATTTTCGTGGGGCTCTACGGAGCAGTCATTGTTTTCCAGGTTGCTAGATTATTAACAATTTGCTAAACTCACAATGTTTGTGTGAATGATTTTATGATGCAAGTACTTACAATTTTTGTACCTTACTGTCGCAGGAGAAGTCCTTCCAAAGGGGAGTTTCATATGTTGTGGCCATGGTTGCGGAGTTTGATGAGTACACCAATGACTGGCTTTACCTCCGCGAAGGAACAGTTCTCCCAAAGTACTGTATTTCCCCTTGATTGTTCCAATCTGACAATCCTGATGTCCTTTATCATGTGCTGCTTCCTCGCTGTGCAATTGTTTAACCTTTTGTGTTTTGGGAAAAAAAAACAGGCCGTCCTATAGAAAGAGAAAATCATCCAACTCCACAGAATTCTCAGTCAGAACAAATGCCTCTGTCAAAGGAACTGGTCCCAGTGAAGCACCGGCGATGTTGGTTCCGAATTTGGCTCCTGCAAGATCAGTAAGAGAGGCTATACAGGAAGTCAAAATGGTCCAGGTATGTTCCTTTCATGTCATTCCATTTCCCAGCTTGTCTACAGTCTGCATGAAAAATTTTCAGACACATCCTTGTTTCGCACTTTCACCTTAGAAAAAATTGTAATACTCACTGCAAACTTGGAAAAAACGCATGTTCCATGTCCTCCTGTGTAACTATCCGGTAGTTGTATTTCAGTCATTTTATGACTAGTGAGTTAACATATTCAGTAGTCCTCCAGCGTATTTTGAAGAGGGAAATGCTCCAACCCTTTCAATGTTTCCCCTGTCTTCAGAGTAAAGACAGTGCTGACAGATTTCAAAGGGCACATTCCTTATTTCCTTCTGCAGTACTTTATGTGTGTTAACGACACAAAATAAAGACACACCCTTTTTTCTAGCTGTGTCCATGCTATCTTCTGTATGCAAGAAAGTTATTTTCATGAATGGAACTATAATGCTCCAAGTAGGGGATAGCAAGACAAATTTGCGTTGCTGTTGTCACGCTTTCTTCAGTAGGTGAGCCAGTTCTAGTTCAGGAAATGGGATAAATGATATGGGCATGCAAAGAGTAGGTACAGGTAGACAGTTTAATTGTTGCATTGAAGGTACCATAGAGTATAGATTAGGCGAGCTAGTTCTAAGTGAAGCAATATCATGATTCACCAATGAAAGGAACCTCACAAGAGATGCAACTGCTGTGCATTTTATATGCGTGTTTGCTTTATACTGTAGCTAACTGTAAAGAACTGTAACAAGCACTTTGGGTTACTCTACATAAAGATAGACAATCACACAGTCAATCTACAATTCCACGTCATGCTTCGCCTGGAATTTCATCGAGTTAAAAGACGCCTGAAGTCCTAATTTGGTTCCTTGCTTTGCAGATATGGGAAAACCTGATGAAGTCATGCGAACAGAGGGGCAGGGACCTTCTGAACCTGAATGTCATAACAACCGCCGGCCTGACCGAGTGGTTAAGGGCAAAGGAGAGCGGCCACGAGACCATAAGTCTGGGCCTGCCTTCGTACAACCTGCTGTGCACCGTGCTGCAATCGATCAAGGCCGGCTCCGGTGGGCTGGTGCTGGGCAACTTCGAGGTCAACCAGCACAACAGGCCCCAGGACCGGCTGCTGGACTGGATCTTCCACCCCGTGCTGGTCCTTAAAGAGCAGATACAGGCGCTGAAGATGACCGAGGAGGAAGTGAGGTTCCTGGAGAAGCTGACCGTTTTCGTTGGCAACGCCGCGAGCGCTGGTGGGTGGGATAATGGCGCCGAGATGCCCCAGGATCCTGTGAGGTTGGCACAGATTCAGGCCATCAGTAGAAGGTATGCATGCTGCATCTTCTGAATGACGACAATGGTTTCTGCTCATTTCAGTAGAACTGTTCACATCCACTTCTTCATGACACTGTGTGCCTGAAGTTTGTGCCATTTCTCCATGTTCTAAATGCTGCCGGTTTCTTTTGCAGGCTGGTTGGAATTGTGAGGAGCCTGTCGAAGTTCCCGACGTACAGGAGGAGATACAGGCACGTCGTGAAGCTGCTCATCGCCTACTCCATCGAGAGGGAAAGCTCGTCGGCTTCAGGGCACTCGGCTTCTTACTTCGAGATAACACAGCTGGACGTGTAATTTGGGAAGCAAGCAATCTCCAGTTGTAATTAAGCTGTTTCTAGAATCAGGTAGCTCCGGTTGCTTTTCTTTTTCTCCCCCCTTCATTCAGTAAATATGTTTCGCACACCGTTGTCAGTGCCTTCGTGTGTTTCAAGCCTAGTGAGGTTTTTTGTAGAACACTAGTCGTCGTTACAGGAGATAGGCGCTCCATTGCAGATGCTGATCAGGCAGTGCCAAAGCTTCAGAGTTCAGACATAAGTCAGCTGCTGCACTGCACAATTGCCATGCTCGCTTGAACTACTTTTCAACCGAGTCAGCTTATTTCAGCTTATTCTTCCTCGCATAGCACTGTTAAATCAGCTGAAAACAACCGGCTTATGTACAGCCGAAACCAGTCGGTCCAATGCACATGTGCTGTTCTTTTATCTCTTCCAAAGCTGTGCAGCCTTTTGTCACACGGTTCGTCGAGTCCCTGTCGAAAGCTGGCACGGTGGCACCTGGCATTACAGCAGCAAGCGAGAATTCGTAAGTAGTCGTAGAGTTGCTGTCTGCCGGCTGCCGGTGCCGAAACCAAACAGAAATCTTGGGCATGTGCAAACGTGCCCCGACTTGGATGTAATCCAGCTCAGCTGCCATCCAGAAGTCCAACAGCCGGATCAGCCAGCCTCATCCGTTCCTCCTGGCTATAAAGTATAAACACCCAGATTTTCTCCTCCTCTCGGCTAATCCGGGCGAGATTCACGGGGGATTAAGCCCGTCTGTCTTTGACTCGTCTCGTCTGGTAGCATAATTTTCTTGTGTGCCCCGGCCCGGCCATTTGGAGGTGTCAGGTGTGTACCAGCTGGACATCTCAGATTTGTCGTTGAAACTGGGGGCCTGAAACTGTGATTATTCTGATCACACATACAGCCTGTTCGTTTCGGCTGGATTGGCTTATAAGCCATGACTGAAAGTACTGCTGACTGGTTTGATGTGAGAGAAAAATATTATTCGTTAACTGATAAGTCCATGCTTATTAGCCAGATACGAGCGTGTTTCAGTCGAGACCGTCGCCTCGCCTGAAACTCCAACGAAATTCCTAGCGCATAGCGTTATCAACAGCTCGGTGACAGTAGGCGACGAGGTCTCGTGACTCTCGTCGGTCGTCACATCCATCGGAGCAAGGTGGCAGGCAGCGCGACTCCCAAATGTTTGCCCATACCGCCGCAGTCGTTGCAGTCGGCGGCCGGCCTCTGACGCCACGGGCTCCGTCGTCTCTCCACCCACCATGGAGAACAACCACCAAGTCATAAATAAACAGAGACACCAAACAAGAACTCAGAACTGGTAGTATGTATATAAAACACAGCAGGGCCCTTTCATCTTGGAAGAACATACAAGAGGGTTTTAATCAGTCCCGAGCTCGAAAGTGAGGTGACAGGAATGGCACAAAAACGTTGCTGTTTTGGATCGAGTCATCAGTCATGGAGGCAGCAGCTCGCGTCGATCGTGGAATTTTCGTATTTTGATCTCTTTTGAAAATAATTTTTAGAAAAATACCAACGTCAAAACATTTTCTGAAAATAGACCATTTTTAGACGTCTTAGCACATGATGCCGAGATATGAGGCTCGGCGTCGTGTCACTCGACGCCGAGGTATTGCCACGTCACGGACGACCGGGGTCGTCGTCGACATGTTGGCGCGTGGGTCCGCAACGTCGGCGTCGTGTCAGCCGACGCCAAGTACCCAACCTCGGCGCGGTCTGACTGCGCGCCGAGATCTGGCCCCATCCGGAGCGCGGCCCAGGCGGCCCAACAAAGCACGGTGGCCCAACAGCTCGGCGTTGGGTCACTTAACGCCGAGCCTCCAGACCTCGGCGTGACCCGACTCAACGCCGAGGTCTGGACCCTTTAGGCCGCGCCGAGGCCCCTTCTTCTTCCTCCCTTCATTCTGAAACCGTCGGCCTCCCTCTCTTTCTCTTCTCCCCCGCGCCGCCAGCAAACCCTAACCTCCAAAATCGACCCCCGGTGCCACGATCTCGGCTCCCGAAGCTTTCTCGAGGTAATGGTCCCTCCCCTCTTCCATTCTATCCGCGTAGATGTGCTTACATTGTCCCTAATCATGTGGAATCATGGTTGTTTGGTGATTTGGTATATTTGTGTTTGCATTTACAAAATGTATGGCTTAGGATGATTGAGTGCATTGTTGTTTAACTGTTTTATGTGATGAACATGTTAGGTTAGTTTGGTTTCTAGTTATTTTGGTCATTAGGGTTATTTGTTTATTGTAGGTGTTATTAGGGTTAGTTATTTGTTGGTCATTAGGGTTACTATGTATTTTATTTATTTGTTGGTCATTACATTTCAATTTGTTATGACTAGAAATGATTATGTTGTTGGGGTTGAAAAACGATGAAATGATATATTTTAGTTTCTACTTATTGGATTGAAATATATTCATATGTTACACTACTTGTTGTGTGATGGCTGTAGATGGATAAATTAGTGAGGTTGCATCATGGAGGCCGTATTGTTAGGACAAGAGATGATAGTTTGGAATTTCTGGACATGTGTGAGGAGTTGTTGATTTTTTTCTGAAACACCATCTTTGACCCAGTTAGTGGAGCGAGTGAAGGTTAAGTTAGGCTGGAATGAAGGAGACGTGCATGTTCAGTTTGAAGGTGTCATAGATGTTGGGTCATCGAAGGGTCCTCGGATCAAGCGGTTGCTCAAAATTACAAGCGAGACTGAATGAAATGATTACAAGGCAGTTGTATTGGCCTCAGAAGTGCGATCTTTGGATTTAGTAGTAAGTAAGGAGTCCGGCTTAGGAAATGATAACTTCGAAGCATGGCCATCTTCCCCCGCTCACATAGGTTATGGTCCTTTGCCTGAAGAAGAAATACTTGTCACACAACTAGGCTACGGTGGAGATGAGGAAGAGAATCCGGTTGCCGATGGTGAGGGCAATCATGATAGTGATGAAGAGGATGATGATTATGTAATTGTTGACGCAGAAGAATGTTTGGACGACGCTAGCGGAGACTTTTCTATTGAGGATGAGCTTAGCGACGAAGATGATCTTAGTAGTGAAGAAGACTTTGGTGATGCTAGGGCTACGAACCGTTTTGACATGGAGATAGCTGGAGATGATGAGTCCTTCGTAGAAGAGATAGCCAAAGACTCTGATGACGATCGCCCTGTTGGTCGTCTGAATTTAAGGGAAATAGAGATATTGTTTAGGGTCTTGCCTTGGAGAGATCCACTAGTTGGTGATTTCGAGGACCTTAGCCATGGTCATAGGGCAGTAGCTGATGGTGGGCCAAGTGATACAACTGTGCCTGATGTTAGCGGTTGCCTCATCATACGGAAGGGCATATTGTTTGCTACCATGGATGAGTTGAAATCATGGTTGCAAGAGTACTCCATTGTACATAACCGACCTTTTAGGGTCATCAATTCATTCAAGGAGAAGAGGTACACTGTTGCTTGTGAAGAACAACAGTGTGGTTGGAGAGTATGTGCTAGGAAGACGAAGGCAGGCAAATAGAAGATTACCTCAGTGAAGGAACCACATGTTTGTGCCACTGCTGAGGCAGAAGATAACCATCTGCAGCTCAATTCTAGGTTCATTGCAAGGCAATTATGCCCCGTGGTGAAGCATATGCCAACCATTACGGTGTCTGCGTTGGTTGAGATCATCTTCTAATGGTACAATTACTATGTCAAGTATGGGAAAGCATGGAGGGCAAAGCAGCGTGCACTGGAAATAATATTTGGAAATTGGGAAGAAGCTTATGAGCGCCTCCCTGTAATGTTGAACGCAATGAGGGCTGTAAATCCTGGGATGCACTTCGAGTATTTACCTAAGGAGGGTGAAACAAGGAATGGTAGCGGTATTTGGAAGGGCGTTTTGGGCGTTCAAGGCGAGCATCGAAGCATTCAAGCATTGCAGGCCCGTCGTCTCAATTGACGGGACCTTTCTTCTGATGTGGAAATTTGAAGGCACAATGCTTATTTGTATTGGGACGGATGCAGAGGACCACTTGTGCCATTGGCCTTTGCGATTGTTCGGAAGGAGGACACGGATAGTTGGTGTTGGTTTCTCGGGCTAGTAAGACAAGTGGTAATTGGCACGGGACGATGATGTTTGTGTGATATCCGATAGGCATGTTGGCATTCTCGAATGCCGTAGAATAAGAGATTCTGGTTACTGACCAAATACATCACCGGTGGTGTAATTGGACACCTTGCTCGAGAATCTTATAAGGCGTGATCACACAAAGGACAACTTCAAATTATTTGAGGAGGTTTGCGCAGCAGCAAGAAGGGGTTCAATTATTCAAAGACAAGTTAGATGCCACGAAGTTAGCCACAAATGTTGATGGCGAGGCAATTCTTGAGCGAGTTGATGGCATCGAAGGATAAGTGGTCACTTGCATATGACACAGGTGGTTGGAGATGGGGCTTCATGACTAGTAACATGGCAGAGATGTTCAACAGCCTTCTAAGAGGTTGTCATGGTCTGCCTGTGATTGCTATTGCCTCATTCACCTTCTACAAGTTGAATTCTTGGTTCGTTTCGAGGAAGAAGCATGCGAGGTCTCTATGGACAGCAGGCAAAGCTTGGCCACTTTTAGCATCTCAGGAACTAGCTTTCTCAAAGAAAAAGTCTAAACGACAGAAGGGTTCATGTTTCGATCCGATCAACCATGGATATGAGATTCTAGAGGGGTATGGAACTAACATTGGTGGTGAAGACCGGGGTGCTCGAAAACATAAAGTAGTGATCAATGAGAACAAGTGTACGTGTGGAAAACCGATCATATACCATAGGCCTTGCTCCCACATGATTACAGCCTATCGCCTTAGACGTGTTGACCCTGAGGTCCCTCCCCGTATGGCCGCGGAGTTCTCTTTGAGGAACCTAATGAGCACCTAGAATCCTCAGTTCGAGCCATTTCTTGATGAGAGTCAATGGCCTACTTATGATGGCCCCAAGTATGTGGCTGATCTTGGTTTACTCTGGAAGAGTAGAGGACCTAGGCGGCGGAAGCGGTTCAGGATGGACATGGACCGAGCCACGAAAGGTAGATCAACCACGAGTAAGGTTGGGAGATATTTTGTAGAGGACACCCAAAAGAGCCGTTGCTCTGGTTGCCATAAGTCGGGCCACAATAAGAGAAAATGTCCTGAACTACTTAGACAACAGGTATCCATCAAGCTAGCTACTAGAATTGCTTTGTGTAATGGTACATTGGTTTACTTTTGTTTTTTTTATTTTTATGTTACTTCGTACCACATACACATGCTTTAACTTATACTAATGGTTTGGCATTGCTTATGTTGCAGGATGGATCGGTTCCCCCTTCTTGATCCAAGGTTCGATGAGCACCACCGGGCTCGGAGGATCGAGAACGGAGAGGTATATTCAACAATTCGTATGAAAACATTGCATTGTTCATGTTTTGCTCTATAGTCCATGCTCTTTATAAAGTGACATGAACTAATACTTTTTCATGCTTGTCTTTTTTTGCAGGTTTTGAATGTGCTGAGGCCAATGACACATGAGGCCTCTACGACCATGGTCTACGACGAGAGGTACACGCCCTCCCAAGTGGTGAACCTTGCTACCATTGCTCGTGTTTGTCGTCGAGGCACGCCACCTTTCAACCCAATGGTGGCCGGCGGCGTTGATAGATTGGTGGCGTCACGGAGACACATGACTTTCACCTACCATGGGGAGATGACGGTCACTCTCGAGGACGTTGCCATGATCCTTGGAGTCAAAATCCGAGGATTCCAAGTGATAGGAGACACGGAGTCCGAAGGATGGCGCAGCGCTGGGTTGAGCACTTCTTGGGACGGCCCCTAGCGGCGATTGAGGGCGGCAAGAAACGACGCAGGATGGGGTGTCCCCGAGGTGGCTTTCGTTAGCGATTCGAGAGTGCCCACCCAACGAGACGCCGAGACCGTGACATACCATTGTCGGGCCTACATCCTCCACATGTTAGGTACGGTTCTCTTCCCCGATGGCACTGGAGACACGCGGCCCTGGATGTACATCCGTGCCTTTTGAACCGGGAGGATCTGGCAATAGGAGTTGGGGCTCGGCTATACTTGCCTTCTCTGCACTCGTCGACTTTGCGAGGCTTGCCGCCGCGTCTAGAGGCGCATGACGCTACAATGTCAGGGTGCATCACACTGTTGCAGGTAATAAAGCAAAGTTGTACAAGTTTCCACTACAATTCAATGTTTTTTCTTAACAAAAGTGATTAACATTCATGTTTCCACTCTTTTTTTGCAGATTTGGATGTGGGAGAGGCTTCCAGTTGGGAGACCGCATCAGCTTGATCCCCCACAACCTTGGTTTCCTCAAGGAGACGCAGTTGTCGCCCCTACCGTGGCACACCTCTACGAGCGAGCCCACGGAACATACCACGTGTCACGCCACGCGTACATCAGCTTCACCAACGAGCTGGACACCCTTTTGCCACAGCATGTAAGTTTCCCACCCTTTTGCCCTAATCAAGGATATGTGCACAAATTGAGTGTCGACTAGTTGATGACGACGTTGTGTACAGGTTCAATGGAGCCCATATCGGCTGAGGCAAGTAACGGATCTCAACTTGAGCGCCTTGTGCATGGCAGACGAGGATGTCTGGACGATGAGGACCCCCCTTATTTGTTTCTATGCAGTGGAGTACCATCTCCCTCACCGTGTAGCACGGCAGTTTGGTAGGCTGCAACCTTCTCCGCCCGATGATTTCTCCACCGGTTGGCAGCTCCACAAGTACGTAACATACAATATTTTGTTCGTTTCACATGAAAGAATCATTGAGTAGGCCTTCATATTGCCGATTTGGTGTAAAATTTGCAGGTTCAACAGACAAAAAAATAAGAAGATCACCAACTGGCAGCTGGAGCATCAGCGCTACATTGATGAGTGGATGTTGATGGAGCAGAACAACATGGGCATCCACGCCGTCCATCGTGACAAGGCATTCCATGATTACCTTGTTTGGTTTGGTCAACGAACAAGGCTTCAATTGAGGCCGCTTGGGACGGAGCAAGACATTGCCGACATTATGAAGCGAGGATGAGGGCAACAACCCATATGACCAAGCTACCCGAGAAGGCGAGGCAAGTTGAGATCGCCCTGCGTTAGCTGAGAAATGTAAGTGATACAACTATTTCAATCTCTAAGGTCTTTCTTTGTGATGGAGACTTAAATTATTGTTTTTGTTGCATAGAGCATGGAGATAATGAGGACAAGTGGCCGACCAAGGAAGGGCATTGATGATTCTGTGGGCGATCCCGATGAGGCCTCCATGTTACGACAAAGATATTCAGTAGTCTCCTCTCATTCAGATTGATGTTACATCTTTATATAGTTTTGTGACCAACCCCACTTACTAATAGTGCTTTCAAAATACGGTGTGCATGCATGCATCGCCTACGAAAAGGTAGCTGCACGCCTTGGATGTAGACGTTCCCGGATGTGGCGGTCCCACAACGACTTGGTGCTTGGACCTTCTCTGCACATGTTGGAGGGACTTCATCTTCACATGGTGCACATGGTGGCGATACTTCTTCTTCACATGGTGCAAAGAACATCGCAGAGGGTGGTCAAGGACATGGTCATTATGATGATGAAGATGATGAAGGATGGGAGAGTACTATGATCATGAGTATGATGAGATTGGCATGTCCCGGCTTGGAGATGCACCCCAAGGAACTCAAGGCCCCTCCGGTTCGGACGCCCACATAGGACGCTTCGAGACCGATGGGATGTGTACCTGTGTACCTATCCGTTTGGGAGGGGAAAGCGTTACGCTTCGCCGTCCACGTTAAGGTACAAGGAGTGATAAAAGATCCAAAGACTTCATATGCTTTATTTTGTGCATGGACTATGTATGCATTGGACCTTGTACTATGTTTGGACTATGTTTGTTGATTGATGAAGCATATGCATGGACTATGTTGGATGTTGAATGTGTTGGACTATGTTGGATGCTTAATGTGTTGGACCTTATGTATGTACGGATGTTGAATGAATGTGTCTGTCGGTGTGGTCATGTGTTATGTGAATGTGTGGAACGTCGCCATGTTTCATTTTTCCAGCTATTAAGGGCCTCCGTCGCAACTCACAAGGAAGAAGGGGTGTCATCATCCCCATCCTCCATGTTACGATCAACCTCTGTTGGATCCACGGTGACATGGCAAGCACGCAAAGGGGACGAAGCGGCTTAGGAGAGTCGGGGAGCTAGCGAGCTCAGGTCCGTTGTTGGCACAAGGTCATCGTCGGCTGATTAGAGTAGTGGGAAATAGTGAAGCAAATCAAAGAAGAGATGGTATATTTTGGTGAACCCAGGGGCTCGGCGTTTAGTCATTTGACGCCGACCCCTGGTACATACTGGAAAACAATTCATCGAAACGCCGAGGTGCCCAACCTCGGCGTTTAGTCATTTCACGCCGACCCCTGGTACATACTGGAAACCCTTGCATCGAAGCGCCGAGGTGCCCAAGCTCGGCGTGGGGTAAATTGGTGACGAGCCATGAAACTCGGCGTGTTACGACTAAGCGCCGAGGTTCGGCCCAAACCGGGCCACGGCCGTTGCCAAACCCTAGGGTTGGCGTGGGCCGACTCGACGCCGAGCCTCAGCCCAACTCGCAAACGGCCGAGCCAAACCCTAGGGTCGGCGTGGGCCGACTCAACGCCGAGCCTCAGCCCAGCAAAACCCAAACCATTTGGTATATGTTGCGATCCTATTTGCATGATTCAAATGAAAAATCTTTCTCAACGATTCCTCTTCGACTAACACGAGTTATACTAATAAGAGTAGACAAGTTATATTTATGTTTGTATGTTTGTTCCCTGCAGGAAAAACCGATTGTTGGTTCGATTTCAATCCCCTATTTTTAGAGAGACTCAAATCTTTTTTTTTAGTTTGGGAATCAACCATAGTACATGAAACTTAGAGGTAGGTAAACTGCAATTTATGAAATAGCGGAGGCACAACGATTACACTCACATCAAAAGTAACAATGGCATGTCGTAAACTAAACCTAGCATGCCTTAGGGGATTGAAAGAAACAAGTGATACAGACATTGCAAAGGGTACACACTCACATAAAAACTAACAAGGGCATGTTGCAAACTAAACCTATCATGCCTTACGAGATTGAAAAGAACAACTTATACAAGCATTCCACATTCGGATTGACTAACAAATGTTGGTCCTAATAATGCTCCCACATATTGAACTGAGTTGCGCCTTCCCCATAGTATCCTCCAGTTGACGGAGGCGGTGGTGGTGGCGGTGGCGGTGGAGAAGGAGGTCCGTCCTTCTTATGGTGCACGGTACTGCATGACGGATTATTGCATAGTGCCTCCTCTGCATCATTGCTGTTGTCGTCGTCCGACTTGTCCCTGTTACCACTTCCAGGGCCATACTCTAGGTCAAAGATGCGTCCCTATAGATATGTGATGTACTATTGATGGGGATAGATAGGAGGAGGGTCGACCCATCTAGTGAAGCCACAGATTATCCGGATGGCTTGAATCTCGAAAACCCATCTACCAATAAGTACTACTAGAAATTAAATGCAAATCTAAAAAGGAGAGAGTTCAAAGGCAATACAAATCCTCATGGGCATCCGAAGAAACGACGGCCTCCATCACACAATCGTTGTACATCCGCACAACGCATAATCCAAACCGTATGCATTTTGGCCAATCTTCAATGCGCTTCTCGTATGATCTAAGAGGTCTCTCACGGGTGAAGTCACTCTTCCTCTCCAAAGGAAATTTCTCTATTGGTTCTTGAAAAGAATCGGGACCAGAAGAACCCTCCCACACAATCGGAGGCCCTTCCTCACCCCCCTTTCTTCTCCCTCCATGAAACCCTTTCCACTCGAGGAACCTCCGCCGACATTTGCTAAAACTAAACCAGAAAACAAGTTGTGTGGATGTGGAGCAAGACATGGAGCACTATATATATATAGAGATGAAGGCGGGTTCACCATGAATGCTACTTGACAAAAAACATGTGTGCGTACTCATTTATTGAATCTGCAAAGGCTAGATGCTTCATCCGAAAAGCCTACAACCATGATGGCCATTTCATCCGAAAAGGCTACACTGTGTTTTGTCACTTCATCTAAATGCGGTACATCACTCTGATATTAATTCATTGCGTATACGGATACAACAGTAAACGAATATAGGCTTTTCAGTGAGTTTTCAAATAGACCTGTAGCCCTTTCAGTGACTGCAACAATACTTGTAGCCGGCGGTTTCAGAATGAAGGGAGGAAGAAGAAGGGGCCTCGGCGCGGCCTAAAGGGTCCAGACCTCGGCGTTGAGTCTGGTCACGCCGAGGTCTGGAGGCTCGGCGTTAAGTGACCCAACGCCACCGCCGGGCCACCGTGCTTTGTTGGGCCGCTTAGGCCGCGCCCGGATGGGGCAGAGCTCGGCGGCAATGATGAGGCCCACAGCGCCGAGGTTGGGTACTTGGCGCGTACCGACACGACGCCGACGTCTCGGACCCACGCGCTTAGCGTGTGTCGACGCGACCCCCGGTCGTCCGTGACGTGGCGATACCTCGGCGTCGAGTGACACGACGCCGAGCCTCATATCTCGGCGTAATGTGCTAAGACGCCTAAAAATGGTCTATTTTCAGAAAATGTTTTGACGTTGGTATTTTTCTAAAAATTGTTTTCAAAAGAGTCCAAAATACGAAAATTTCACGCGTCGATCCCGCCAAATTGACGCGAGGCAGGAAACAAGGAGGAGTCAGTCTCGGTTGGTTGCATCCACGCAAACTCACAAAGAAAGCCGAACGAAAGCTAGCTCTTCTTGATTACCCTTTGCTTTCAAGTCTTAGAATAAATCGGGAAATATTTCCCGTTGACGCTGGCTTTCATCCTTAACAGATCTAACTTTTAAGAAAAGTTTTCTCCTTTGCATGTCACGTCGAATCCCTAACACTACTTGTCATCGTTCCTATTTCACACTCTCTATTCATGTTAAGGATCTAGATTTTAGTTCTAGATAAATGGAATAACGGTGCTTCAAACTACAACCTAGTTCACAGGTGCTGAATTTTCTTTATCAATAAACTAGTCATATATCTTTCTTAAAATCTGTATTGTTTATAACTGAATTATCAAAGCACATATGTTATGATTTTTTAGTCGAAATACAATAAATCTACATGTAGAAGCAACTAAGATACTTCATTACCACCCTTTGTCTCAAATTATAAGTCGTTTTGGTTTTTCTAGATACTGTTTTTTTTATGTACCTATATATACAATACGTCTAGATACATAATAAAAGTTGTGTATACGAAAAGTCACAACGACCTATAGATTAGAACAGAGGGAGTTATAATATGCAACGTCATTGCTACTGTTATTTAATATGTAAATCATTCAGAAAACATCTATCGTGTTTGCTGAATAAAGGAAATTCAAATTGACATGCTCATTTCTCTCCCACGCACGTATATCTGGTCTATTTGGTGGAAGGCATCGTATATGTATACCAAACATACTCATACATATACTTTCTTATTATGTATTACGTCTAGTTGTGATAGACTTTAGTAACCATTTACTCTATGCGATTTTCCATCCCTATATATAGTTTTTCCCTTTCCATGGCACCTCCATGTGTGTTGACATATGTTTAGTTGAAACTTTAGTTTGAGCTACGTGTTTTTATTTTTTATGAAAACCAATATGCCATTGCTTCATGCATACACATATATACAAGGACGTTGTGACAAGCATCAAGCACGTACACTTTGGCTTTAGTTTTCTCTCTCTATATATTGGCAGTGGGAGATGTGTGTTATATATAAGCATGTGTAGAGTACTTTAGGATATATTTTACAAATATAAGAGGTAGGCAATGCATCAGCCTGTTCGTTTCGTCGTAAACGATCGTGGATTATTTACTGCTGGCAGGTTTGGTGTAAGAGAAAAATACTGTTCCAGCTTATAATCTACGATCATATACGAGCAAGCGAACATGCTCATATCTGGGGTTCTTCTAGGCTATTTTTAAGAACCATTGTGCTAGAGAGAAACAAATTGTTGGATTGTAGCAATTATTGGCATATGGACTGTTACAATCTACAGCCAATTTGCTTCATTTGGCAGATTGTAGCAACCTACAAAAGTGCAAATATGCAAAGTAAAACAACAAAGGTCTAATAATTGCCAGATCCTGCTAATTTAGAAATGACAGAATGAGTACATAATTTAGATGTTGATTTAGGATTTACCTTTAAGTTAATTTTCAATGGTTAGATACAAGCTATAACTGCTTTAGGTTATTTTTTATGATGGAAGACGCTCTAGATCTAAATTTAGAAAACTAGTTTAATTTTAATAATAGCATATGTGTGTAATTTAAATGCAAGTTAGAGGGTTACTAAGTTATGACAGTGGCACTAACAATAGTGGCGAACGAAGTGGGATACCCCGCTTCATCTGAATGTGTGGTTGTGAGACACAGAAGGGTCATCCTCTAAGGGAATAGGGTGTGTTCAGTAGGGATCTAGATTCTCCTAAAAACGAGTAAATCCAAATTCTCTTTATAAACGTTTCTCTATTGAAATAGAATTACATGACAAGAATAAATGAAACCATTTGGCTATCGATCAAGATTCTCCTTGAATTGGATTATAATCACCGCAAAACATCTATCTGGGTAATTCTTATTCCTAATTCAAAACAGAGAAACATTTATACCATAGGTGTTCAACAAAGAATCGCTTCACTAAATAGAGTGTTTGATAGCGATTCATGAGGCTCACTTAAGGATTTGAAACATTTCTAATGTCTAACCTCACCCTTAATATCCTCTAACCAAACACAAACTAGTAACGCGATTCGTATGCCCTCATTAAACATTGAGATGGGACAATCTTATTGCCAAAATTAAGGGGAAAACCATTCCACCTTTGTCAATCTCCAAACTAAGGTTCTTTTCATGTGTTTTTTCTGTAAAAATGAACTGATTCATATAAAATTTCTCTATATTTTTGCGCACCTAAAGTTGTTTCTCAAATATAAATCAGTTCTTCTCTCTCCTCAGCTTATGTCGGCTTGTCCAGTGATGTTGGGTGGCATGAGGATGCCATGTCGGTTAGTCTGTGCATCGGGCAGTGGAGAAGGCCCATGCCAACGCTGGCCCTACTCGCTTGTATTGTAATCCATACTTTTTAACTTATATTTTTTAGCTGTAATAATATTTTTTTCTCATAATAAATATGCTGGAACAATGTTTGGCTTATTTTTTTGCGAAGCGAACAGGCCGCTATCGTTGGACTCTGGAAAAATGGTTCCGGGAATCTAAATGCACATCTGATCCTGCCACGCAGGACAGTAATGCTTTCACTGCCCGTGCTAAGACCGTTTCCAACAGGAGATTTATTGTAAAACCTAAACTTAAAATGGAGCTCCAACACAATACCTATAGTCTCCAACAGAGTATCTATATAAAAGATTCATTTTGGTGTCAAGAGAGGCATAACCTAAATCTGAATATCCTCTCTCCTGAAGACCTATTTGCAAAAAGAGTTGTCTTTTGGGTCTTGTTATTGGAGAAGACAAAAAATAGATATTAAACTCTTTGCTTGTAGCACTATCCAAAGGACGAATGAGTCTTGTATTTTAGGTCGCGGTTGTTGGAGACAGTCTGAGGAGGCAGAAAATTCTTGTTGACGTACAGCTACATGACACTGCTGAAGACCTGGACGACGGGCCTCGTTTGGTTCCTCTCCCTAAAGTTTACTTCCTATCCCGTCGCTTTTTGACACATGTATGGAGTATTAAATATAGACTAAAAAAAATTAATTGCATAGTTTGTGACTAATTTACGAGATGAATCTTTTAAGCCTAATTAGTCTATGATTTGACAATGTGGCGCCACAGTAACACATGTGTTAATGACGGATTAATTAAGCTTAATAAATTCGTCTCGCGGATTACTGACGGATTCTGTAATTTATTTTTTATTAGTATCCGAACACTCCATACGATACTCCCATATGATTTCTGATATAACACCCCTAAACTTTAGGCTCTGTATTTAAATAAGGCCCAAACGAACGAAGAGCCTTAAAAAAAAAGACTTCGTCCACGGTGAAGACCAACAACTGCCCGGTCAGGTGCCACCCCACCTGACCCACCCGCCTGCCGCAGTGCCGCGTCCCGGCGTTAAAAACGCACACGCGCCCCCGCCCAGTCATTAGTGCGCCGCGGCCGCGCGCTCCCTCCCCTCTTCGGCTCTTCCCTCCTGCCGCTCGCTTTTCGGGATTTCATTTCGTTTCGTTTCACTCGAGGGCGGGCGGCCGGGCGAGAGAGAGGCCGGCGCGCGTGGGAGCGGCCTGGATTTGCGCGTCCTGTACTGAGCGCCCCATGTGACAGGTCGCTCGCTTGCCCCCGCCGCCCCGCCGCTCCCTCCCTCCCTTCCCTCGTCCCGCAAAGCAACCGCAACGCGCCGAGCGGGGTCCCCGGCCAGCCAAACCCTCCCTCCCACCCCAAAAAGCCGAGGCAGCGAGCGGGCGGGCGGAAAAGGCTAGTGCGCGCTCGTGCTCGTGCTCCCCGACCAGACTAGACTAGACCAGCAACGCGCTAGCGCCAGCAAGGCGAGTGGCGAGGCGATGCTCGCCCGCCGATCTACTACTACAGCCGCTGCCGCCGCGGCCGTCGCCGGGATCTGGCTGTGATTAATAAGGATGTCGTCGGCGTCGCGGAGCGGGAGGAGGCGGACCGGGAGCGTGGCGCTCGGGGACCTTCTGCGGCGGGAGGCGTCGGCGGAGCGGGCTGCGCTGGGAGGCGGCGACGGCGAGCGGGATTGGCGGCCCTCGGTCGCGGCGGGGCAGGCCTGCCGGGCGAAGAAGGGCGAGGACTTCGCGCTGCTCAAGCCCGCCTGCGAGCGGCGCCCCGGCGCACCGTCCACCTCCTTCTCCGCCTTCGCCGTAAGCGCCCCCCACCCACCCACCTCCCTCCCTCGACCCGTCTTCCATGCCCCAATGGTTGGTAGTAGTATGCTACTGTGGTCCGGCTTCGTTCTGAGAGGGCGCGCCCCGCTGGTGTTTGGTCTCGTTCGCTCTCGCAGCTGTTCGATGGGCACAACGGGAGCGCCGCCGCGGTGTACGCCAAGGAGCACCTCCTCGGCAACGTGCTCGGCTGCGTCCCGACCGATCTGACCAGGGACGAGTGGCTCGCCGCGCTCCCAAGGGCGCTCGTCGCGGGGTTCGTCAAGACCGACAAGGATTTCCAAACGAAAGGTAACGGGAATTCCTTCCATTCATGGAACTAAATTGATTGGTGCCTGCCCTCCCTAGCAACTATAGCAAGTACTACTCCGCCGTACTACGAGTTGAGTAGAGTACCAGCACATCTGTAGCCCAACCTGGCATCTCTATGGCCAGGCGGTAGGTGATTGTTTCAAATTGACCGTGTAAAATGGTTCGGTGGTACACTTGCAGTAAGTTGGTACAAGAGCACTACTAGCTGAGTAGAGTACCAGCACATCTGTTGCTCAACCTGGCATCTCTATGGCCAGGCGTTAGGTGATTGTTTCAAATTGACCGTGTAAATGGTTTGGTGGTACACCTGCAGTAGTTGGTGGTACAAGAGCTGACCCGTTTGCCTGTTCCTTGTTCATTTTTCAGCTCATTCTTCTGGGACAACCGTGACGCTTGCGATAATTGATGGCTCCGTTGTAACTGTTGCGTCCGTTGGTGATTCACGTTGTGTCCTCGAAGCTGAGGGATCCATCTACTATTTGTCGGCCGACCATCGCTTTGACGCTAATGAAGAGGAGTAAGACCGCTTTCTCATAGCGTACTGTTGTTCTATAGTTGGTTACACGTTTGGCTCTTCTCACTTGTTAGTTTTTGATTTGTAGGGTTGGACGTGTAACCGAATGCGGAGGTGAAGTTGGAAGGCTAAATGTCGTTGGTGGTGCTGAGGTTGCTCTTTGCCTTTTCACTCACTCCAAAGTTTTCCATTTAATTTATGCAGCTGGTAGCCAAACAAAAAAGAGATTTCTTTATTATTGAAAAACAGCTAACGTGCTTTTTCCCCTTGTTTTTCGGTGCAATATTTAATACTATTTTTGTTAGAGTCTGTCTACCCAACAACCATGTGTTTTATGCAGTTTCAACACATGAATTTTTTTACACCATAGAATTAAGATCCAACAACCTCTATCCTCCTCCTACCTCCAGCCTTCTTCTATCTCCAGCCTTCTTCTACCTCTAGACAATCACAAATCACAAGATCACAGATCCACATATCACAAGAAACAATTTTTTTCTATGCAAGGACAAGAGGACAAATCGCGTCCAGGTCTGATCGGAGCGAGGGGCCGGGAGGACTACGACGCGACTGACAGATCGGATTTAGGGACGAGTCAGTCCCAGTCGTCAGGCCGGCCGGTCTCCAGTGCCCACGACCGCAGCAGATGCGACTGACGGACCACGGCTGTCGGGACGTCGTCCTCGACCGTTCGGTGAAGAGAAGCCGGCGATGTCCGCCACCACAACGCGCGTGCGCTTCGGAGACAGTTGAAGAGAGAGGGAGAGAGGGAGAAAATCCATGTGTTTTTTTATGTTAAGACATATGTGTGTTGTATATAAGGCTGGATAACGAGCTGGCTCGGCTCGGCTTGTTCTGCCTCGTTAAGATAACGAGCTAGCTCGGCTCGGCTCGTTATCCTAACGAGCCAGAAAGCTAGCTCGGCTCGTTAAAAGCTCGAACTGGCTCGTTAAGCTCGTGAGCCAGGTATAAAAAATACACAAAATATAATATTTGTATTTATCTAAAATTTGAGAATAATAATAATATAAAAGAAATGCATCTAGACCAGTTACCAGTCAATTTATAGGGTCTAGACCAGTTACCAGTCAATTGTAAAGTGCAAGACATGAAGTAATACAAAGACTAATACAAGTTTTGATACTTTTTTCCCTGGAAGCTTGGCTCGTTTAGCTCGCGAGCAGCTCACGAGCTGGCTCGAGTTGGCTCGTTATAGCTAACGAGCTAAAATCTTGGCTCGGCTTGGCTCGTTATCATAACGAGCCGAGCCGAGCCAGCCACGAGCCGAGCGAGCTAACGAGCTTCGAGTTTTTCGTCCAGCCTTAGTTGTATAGCATTTCTGTTTTGTTAAAGTTCCTGAGGCTGTTAACTAAAGGTGTTTTTTTTGTTCCGGAAAAAGGTTTTGGCAGTTTGCTGCCTGTCTGACTGATTTGGTGTATAGCAAGCTATTAGATGTATAGTATTTTCATTGGGTAAGTGGGGCTTTAAGTCGTGCTAGATGGCAGCTTAGCTGGATAGAGCTCTTGGATTGACTGAGAAATTATGCTTGTGTAACTAGCCACCAACTCCCAATTCTGCTTATTTTTATTATTTTAATCTATGAGACCGATGTATCAAACTGTATGAGAGTACCAGCATGAACATTTTAATACCTGTTGTATGTTGGACATCTTCCATAGGTTTTCCTTTAGAGTCCTATCTTTTGGTTTGTAGATGTGATTCACACCCTCTTTTGATCCTTAATTCGTTTTCTTATCCATCCAGATTGGTCCCCTTAGATGTTGGCCAGGTGGTCTATGCCTCTCAAGGTCGATTGGTGATCAGGACGTAGGTGAATTTATCATTCCGGTTCCTTATGTGAAGCAAATTAAGGTACACTGTTGGAAAGTCACTTTACACCATTTCTGGAGAAAACTGAATTGTAAACTCTCACTGTAGTGATATCACATTCAAGTACCAGAAGTTGTGCTGTTTGAATATTCTCATTATCATAATCATCTGAATTTTCTGTCGTTATATGAGCCTACCCTTGTAAACTAGCTCTAATGTTTGAGACCAAACTGTATTCTATACTGTACCTGTTACCTGACTATTCAGATGATACATCACTTTGTCTAGACGTATATTTTCCAGTATTTATAAACTGACTGCCAGATTTCGTTCTTATTTCCTTTGTTTGCAAAGTTTGCTCATTGTTATACGCAACTATAGTTATGTTTTCTTTTCTTTTCTTTTCTTTTCTTTTCTGAGAGGATTATTCTGTGATTTTCTCTGAAGTGATTCTTTGTTCATTTTAATCTGATCATATTTTGAAAAATAATGTCGTATTGCAATGCTTGTAGCTGTCTAATGCTGGAGGCCGTCTTATTATTTCAAGTGACGGTGTTTGGGATGCATTGACTGCGGAAGTGGCTTTTAGATGTGCACGAGGGCTTCCTCCTGAGGCTGCAGCTGAGCAAATTGTTAAAGTACAATACTAATACCCTTCCCCACCCATCTTAACACAAGGTCTGAAACCCTCAGTTGTACTGTTCCTAATTGGTGTACTGTTTGCAGGAAGCAGTTGATTCAAAAGGATTGAGAGATGATACAACTTGCATTGTCATTGACGTAATACCACCAGAGAAACCAAAATGCACTATAGAATCTCCAAAAACGCCAGGAAAAGGCCTTGTACTTCTAAAAAAATTCTTTTTAAGGAAAACATTATCTGACTCGTTGTCTCTCGCTGATAAGGATAATTATCCTGAGCCAGATTTAGTGGAGGAGGTCTTTGAGGACGGATGTCCGTCCCTTTCAAGGAGGTCTGTACCCTTACCTCATCTTGATTATGGATGCATAATAGCTGGCAAATAATTATACTATAAACTTATGCTTTCCAATTAATAAATGTACTGTCATCTTGATACGGCGTGGACGTCTAGGAGAGCGCAGGGGTGAATGGAGTAGCAGCTGAGATTGGGAATTAGAACGCAGAAGGTAGTGAGGCAAGGGCGGTGGGGAGCTATCGTCAGCAGCTACGGCAGAACCGCGCGTAGCCACCGTCGAAGGGGTAAACCCCACTCGCCTAAGGGAGGTTTATTTCCTTCTTCGATGCCTATTACAATCTCCTAAGGTGCCCCTTTATAGTCCAGGTGCACTTCCATAATAAAACCAATCTACTAATAAAACCAATCTACTAAACTCCCTTCCTTTCTAATGAGCCAGCAGCCGAGCCTATTAGCCACGGTCTGGGCTGAGGCCTTGTTTGGGGCGACGCCTATACTGGCGGCCCACAAACGAGTCCACAACACTTCCCTCCTCCCGAACAAACAGCTAGTCCGCGAGCTGAAACTCTGAAACTCAGGATAGCGATCCTTGAAATCTTCTACAGCCTCCCAAGTAGCATCAGCAGGAGCGCGGCCTTCCCAATGAACCAGAACCTGCCAGCGGCCGCGGTTGAGGCGAGTGCGGATTACAGCAGCCGGAGTAGGAACCACCCGACCATGGAGGATCGAAGGCAAAGGAACCAAAGCAATAGGTGGCTCCCCCACAAATTTCTTCAAGAGAGCAACATGGAAGACGTCATGAATACGTGCCTTAGGAGGGAGGTGCAGACGATATGCCACCGCTCCAATGCGCTCAATCACCTGATATGGCCCAAAGAAGCGAGGCCCGAGCTTGGATGGTGTAGCAGTAGTAATGCCCACAGCTGTACGATGATGGAGGCGCAACCAGACCCAATCGCCCACCGCAAACTCAACTGGCCGACGCTTCTGGTCTTGATGATCTTTCATCACATCCTGAGCCAACTGCAGCCTGTCACGGATCTCAGCCAAAAAGACATCCCTATCACGAAGCTGCCGATCCACCGCAGCCACCTTAGCCGAACCAGGAATATAGGACACCAGAGGCGGCGGTGGTCTGCCATAGACCACTTCAAAGGGAGTGGCACGGAGAGCAGACTGGAATGAAGTATTGTAACAAAACTCTGCCCATGGTAACCACTGAAGCCAAGAACGTGGTCGATCACCAGCTAAACACCGCAAGTACATCACGATGATGCGGTTAGTCACCTCAGACTGTCCATCGGTTTGTGGATGAAACGCCGAGCTGCGGAGTAACCGGACATTGGCCAATTTGAAGAGTTCTTCCCAAAAACTGCTGGTAAACACCGTGTCACGGTCACTCACAATGGAACAGGGAAACCCGTGAAGGCGCACAATATTGTCGAAGAAGGCACGGGCCACCGAACTCGCTGAATATGGATGACTCAAGGCGATGAAATGAGCCATCTTGGAAAAACGATCGACCACAGTGAGGATTACCGACTTCCCGCCAACCCGGGGAAATCCCTCAACAAAATCCATGGCAATATCACTCCACACATGTTCTGGAATGGGCCAAGGCTGCAGCAACCCTGCTGGACGTAGATGCTCTGTCTTGTTCCTTTGACAAATAGCACAGCCACGGACATAGTCGCGGACCAACCGATGAGCATGAGCATTGAAGAAGGATGCCCGAAACCGATGAAGAGTTTTCTGGGTGCCCTCATGGCTGCCATGCGCCTCCTGCAGCAGATGCGGCCAAATCAATGAGGCGTCTGGGACAAAAAGGCGCCCCCTGAACAGCATCATGTCGTCCACCAGTGTCCATCCATTTGGCGCTATACCCGCTGCCAATTGCACCCGCAGCTCCTGGGCCTGCGGATCACTCAAGTGCTCCTCCCGCAGATCATCATAGAGGGCGAAAGTCGGGCTGAAACTGCACGGACAGCAGGCATGTCGGAGTTGCGGCGGGACAGAGCATCCGCCACGGTGTTAAGCTTACCTGAATGGTACTCAACTGTGAGATCATAACCAAAGAGCTTAGTCACCCATGTGTGCTGAGGAATTGTCGTGAGGTGCTGGTCGAGGAGGTACTTGGGACTCCAGTGAGCTGTGCGAACTGTGAAAGCACGACCCCATAAAAACGGTCGCTAGTGACGGACGGCCTTGACCAAGCCAATGAGCTCTCTTTCATAAGCTGGCAGCGCGTGAACAGTAACCAGCAGATTAGATTAGATTGATTTGGTTTGTTAGGAAAGGGATAAGTTAGATTGGTTCGGTTAGGATATTTCCTTAGGAGTCAAGTCAGTCATCTCTATTGTAATCAAGCAAGGAGAACCTAAGAAGTAGTCTACGGACGAAAGGGTTCTTCGTGCTACCCCAGTCAATCCATATCACATCTGTGGAGCACTGTTTCGATACTGGTTCTAAGATACTTGTATTTACTACAATAAAAAAGTATGATGTTTCCCGCTACTAATGAGATGCCACTTGAGCCGGAAGTATTTTACCTTCATGCAGAAGTTGTGTGTGCTGAAATACAAAAGACATTAGACTGTTTGATAGTGCCGGACACCATACCTTGTCTACAAAAGTTTAATTCCTGATAGAGCATAATGAATGCTGTTGTCAAGTAGGAGTATATAACACCTTAACAAAATATTGTTAAAAAACAGGGTATTGCATTCTTGGGATGAATTTCTATAGGGAAGTCAATAGTATTACAATTTGTGATTATGTGTTGTGCTTGTCCTTCACTAAGTGCATGCTGTTATGTTAACACTTAATCAACCATGTAGTTCCTTCACACAGTAATCAATTACCCTAGTCACAAATAAGTGACATATTGGACATTGACCTGGTCTCCAAAACAATACTTTTACTAGTGTCCTTTCTTACAAAAGTATTTATATTCAACATAGTAATAGTAATACTTTTAGTAAACCACATCTCGAGACAATACTCATCATTTTTTCAAATATCCAAACTCAACACATAGAAAGTAATATTCAATCAAATTTTGAAATGGTTGACTTTTTTTTTGACACCGAAATGGCTGACTTAGGACAACCCCAAAATGTAACTGCTTTCAGTTGTGTTTTCATTTAATGTCTCGAAATAGAAGTAGATATTTGTTGGAAGGAACAATATCTCATCAAGAACTATCGATCATGGCAATATTGTGAGAAAGCCATGACATCATAAAATGTTGAAAACAAGCTTGTTTTGTCAAAATATGGACTTGGATTCTAGAAGCATCCAAAACTTTAGATCATGATGCTATGTCTGACATTTGATTTCCAATGGATGCAGGCTTAATTCTGAATATCCTGTCCGAGATATGTTCAAACTTTTTGCATGTGCAATTTGTCAAATTGACTTGGAATCTGGTCAAGGCATATCCATACACGAGGGTTTGTCAAAGCCAGGAAAGCTGCGTCCCTGGGATGGCCCTTTCCTTTGTCACAGTTGCCAGGAAAAGAAAGAGGCGATGGAGGGGAAGCGTCACTCACGAGGTATAAACCATCCTAGTTCTATTTCTATAAACTGCCCTAGTTCTTTTTCATACAGCTTACCACATCCATAGTGCGTTAGTGACAAATCAAAAATTATGTTCTTACATCTGCAGATTCCTCATCAAGAAATAGCGGGTCAAGTGAATAGTGACTGAAGCCAAGAGTCATCTTGAGGCAACCACCTAGTGGTGACGAGCTAATTCTTGTTGCAGTTGTCATACATATTCTTGCAGCACTTCCTATATAACATGGATTGCCATTGGATAGAGACAGATGTTGGAAGGTGCCATGCCTACATATGTTGGAGTTATACGGTACTGGACCGTAGACCAAATTCAATGGCCTCTAGATACCAAACCGGTAAACCTGCGTCTTCGGCAGGGCTTGTGGCAGTAGCTCATGCAGGTAATGATGACAAGAGATTGTTAGTGAAGAATGTCGACAGTGGCCAATAGTCATGTAAATTATTCATCGTATAGAGGTGCAAGTGACAAATAGCCACGGTTTTGTAATTCTCGACTGGGATTAGGCATTGAGACCCTGTAATTCGTCTGGGCAGACCTCAAACTAGAGGTCAACAACGTAGCCTGGCCTATTGTAGAATGTATCTTGCCCTATACAATCTTCATGATTCAACGCTGTAATTAAATCTAAGATCTTTGCAGGCCGCCATGATTCTTTCTACACTGGAGTATATACTGCAGTGTTAAAAGGAGCCTCACGTTTATCGAGAGGCTAGAAATTACAAGATACTGATCGATTTTATAATGATCTGTTTAGATTAGCCTAAAGAATCCATAAAAAACATGCTAACATATATGTAAATTTGAAAAAAGGGATTATGAAAACTTTGTACTCCGTAGTTTGATTATACCATACAAATAGCAAAGTAAAATATCTGAACAAAGAATCTATATATCAGAAACAAATAAATAGCTGAAATTGCAATAAGAATGTACTCTCTCTGTTTCAAATTATAAGTTTGCTATGTATCTATTATTATATCTAGATATATAGTAAAATAGATGTACCAAAAAAGTCAAAACGACTTATAATTTAGAATGGAGATAATATTTATGGTAATTGGTGGTAAAGGATCATGCATGATGCAACCTCATATATGTTAACCCGTGTTGCAATCTGCACGCAAACAAATTTAGATAGCAATATAAAGAAAGAGTCCCACGCGTGTCATGCAACTCATATACTGTGTTTGTACCTACACAAGAGCTAGTTCTCTAATAGTCTAGCGTTTATTTACTTTAAAATTTAGTCTCCAATGTTCTTTTATGAAATGGAGCACTTGATTGCATTTGGTCACGAGGAAGTGATGCGCCCCCTTAGAGAAGTCTTCTGCCATCAAGTTGTGGCTAACTGGCTACCGTGGGTGGCCAACCATATGGAGCATACAAAGTCACATGGAGAGCATACTTTCATTGGCCCCGTTCGCTTCGCTGAAAAAACAAGCCGAAATACTGTTCCGACTGATTTGTTGTGAGAGAAAAACACTGTTCCGGCTGAAAAAACAAGCTGAAAAATACGGATTATAAGACAAGCGAACAGGGCCTTACATAGTTGACCTCTTCGGTCTTTTCTCCAATTTGGCGCTCCCAACATCATTGATCCTCGCTTCTAGTGCGCAACTTGCACTAATGTGTGAACACTGTTGATTCCTTCATACAAGACATTACCATAAGTATCTCTATTAAAGAAATTCAAAGAGGCAAACAAGAGGATGCTTGGCACAAAACTTCACCAAAAGATGTCCATGGAGTATGCCATTGAGGTGGTCTCTAGGTGTGGCAGAACCGTCCGAAATAACACACTTTCGGAGGCGCTCGTCTTCCACTAGACACTAAGGGGGTGTTTGGGACTGCTCCACAAACTCTGCTCCACAAACTCCACCGTGGAGCAGCTCCATAAAAAACTGGAGTTTGTGGAGTACCTCTTTAGGTGCTCTCACAACTCCACCATTTTTCCTCGAACAGAGTGCGTGGAGCTAAAACTGTTTGGCTAAAAAACATGGAGCAGAGCTGAAAAACGTGGAGCGGAGCAGTCCTAAACACCCCCTAAGCATCCCGAAAGTTAGCTACATCGGACAGTTCCGTCGAGCACACCCCACGAGAGAACTCGAATCAATCCAAGTTTGACCTCCAGAATCCAATAATGAGTACGAGCTTATAATACTTAGTTCATTTCATACAACAAGAGTTCTTGGAAATTCTTTATTACAATGTCAGGGTTCAGAGTGCGATAATTAAACAGTGGAATAAAAATAAACATCTAGCGAAAACGATACAAGGATCCGTCTGTGCCCACCAGAAGAATCCTCCACACAAGAGTTACTCCTCAAGCTGCACCTGTAACAGGGTAAAATAAACCCTGAGTACACAATGTACTCGCCAGACTTACCCGACTAGTGGGAATAGTTTCCCGACTCTAAGGGGTATGATAGGTAATATGTGTTTGTTGTTTTCTTTTTGTTTGTGAAAATCATTACTGAAAGTACGTCCTTAAGATCAAGTTTAATTAGGAGTCATGATTACTTCATTAGCTAACCATTCTATGTAAGCACCTGTACTACCTTCAAGCAAGGGTTGAGCAATCAGAACCAATTTACCATCTTTCATATTCCAGTTCTTACTACGGTGCTAGACCGTAGCCAAGTCGTACCGTTTCACATAAACAGCGATTCACGAACCAATGTATCCCAGCTGGGTACCCCAAAATACACGCCCCGTTTGTACCCCAGGCACAAACAAGACCAACCCATTCTACCCCTGTCACGGGGTCCAGGTCCCCATCCAAACTTGGACTCCAAGCCCCCACACTGAGACCCGGTCTCAATATGGTGCTTAGACCTCCACCTTTCCCCGCCTCCAATTAGTCGGTCCGAAAAGAGCCAGAACCCACGACAAGAGTGTAATGAGCCTTCCCGCTCCCATAACCAAGTATGTGCTCAGGATAATAAGTCTATGACCTGACTACCATCTACAACAACGGACGGTCCTCAATCGATATGGACAGGGAAAACAGTGTAACTAAGCTATGCCCCGTGGCCGCGGGACACAACCCGTCACACCCACCATAACCCATACCATATTCCTGCCCGGTCTCCATTTTCCTTTCATCATTTTATCATGAGAGTAAATATAATAACCACCTATTGTGAGTAACGGCAGGTTACTCACGCTACCGAAAATCTAAGCATAGTAGCTACTCGAACCTATACTAGTAGGACTCATAGGTTGATATATATATGCATGTGGTTTTCATAAAATTCCTGTAAGGTAAATGCACATCACATATATATACAGTGAATATAAAAAATAAGGTGTTATGCACCGGGGCTTGCCTTGGGCAGGCACGGTGTCAGCTGAGTCAGTCAGTGGCGGCTCCGGGACCTCCTCCTGCACAAGAATCTCCTCCTCATACTCCTCGATGATCTCCTCAAACTCGTGATCGCCGGTGGTCACTATCTCCACCAACTCGTTCTCTACATGCATGCGATGATGATGCAACACTTAGCATTTAGGCAACAACAACTCTTAAAATAAGAATACGCATAAGCTAGCTCTAATGACTAAGGTACTAAGCTAACTACCATCTTCATCAAGGAAAGTGTTGGGTTGAACTAACAAACCCTTAGCTTGGCAAATTAAGGATATATCTTTATTTCTACTAATGATTTAATGTATATTGAAACAAAGAGCATTTAACTACCCTAATGCTTAGTCTATTCTAGGGCTACAAAAATTACAGTGAGCATATAATAATACAATGAAGCTACTATAAAAATTTTAGGACTAAAGCTATCACCAATTTACCACAAAAATTCCTACAATGATTAATTTTAATAATATGAAGCACTTTCAAACGATTTAATAGCTCCTGGTATCAACATCTATATATATCAACTAAATACACTAAAGGGTATATCACAATTTTAGGAACTTAAGAAAATTTGTTTCACAATTTTTGGACATCTACAAGATTTTATATTAATTAAACAAAACTGGCTCTTGAATAAAAATATAAAGCTATTTCTAATTCTTTACTAAAAAGAGAAACCGAACTATTCCAGCGCGGCCCACGGTGGGGAAAGTGGCCCACGGCGGGGAACCCCCGCGTGCGCTGGTGTTTTAGCAGAAAAGCCCCCGTGCTTCCTACTATTAACGTGACCACTATGCACCCTATTTCTTTAGTCAACGATTATGCGCGAAGGCCCCTGAAAAGACTCATCTTCGCATTGAGGAGGTCCCCGAAGCCCTCGCACTCGACGGCACGGCGTTTGCCAGCATGGAGCCGCTACGCCGGCCAACTGGGACCCGTGCAGACCTAGCTAGGGGGTCGATGCTCACCTATGGACCGATGCACAATGCTAGGTATCGGTTAGGAGACCGGAGACGAAGTAGGGTGGCTTCTCCACGTCAGCGAGCAACCTACGGTGGCGACGATAATGTTCTGGTGAGCCACGGAGCTAAGGGAGTAGTAGAGGTAGTGGGTGAGCATCAACGACTCACCAAGGACCTGGCCGAGGTGATGGTTCGACCGGAGACGCCCCGAGCAAGGTTGGCCACGTACGCATGGCGAGCTCGGTGACTAGCCATGGAGGACACGACCGCGTCAGCAGCGTTGGGACAACAGTAGGGATATGGCTCAGGTGCGCATGGTGAGGAGGGGTTCGAGGCGAGTCTAGCGGTGCAGCCAATTTGGCCCGAGGTGGTTAGATGGGAGTTGCCCTCGGTGATGGGCGGACTCGGCCTTATCGGCACGCTAGTGGGGAAAAGCTCCAAAATTGAAGCTTGGCGGCACCATTCAAGGCGGGGTGGGGAACAGTCGGCTAGGCAGCTTGATGGCAGCGCCAGAGATGCAATGAAACAACCCAAGGTGACCTCTCCCTGTCGTATTTACTTTAACGGCTCAGTAGGCCATGGTGGGAGAGAGAAGAGGGGGAAACAAGAGCTCGACGCGACCTCGTCTTGGTGGGATGCGGCCGATGCGGCCAGGGTGACATGTGCACCGTCTCTCCGGAACACCCCACACAGAGCGCCCTGATAGTGCTTCCGTTCGGTCTTCGCAACGCCGCGATGACCGTTAGCCACCTTGTGGCACAGCGCATGATCCCATCCCCCGCGAACAACGAGT